TAATTTACAGATATTAAAAAAATTATTTGAATTGATTATTTATAACAAATATGTTAGTTATTCTTTTAGCCTGGTTAAATATGTTAGTTATTCTAAGTTGCTCTTTTTAATCATGTATATTGGAATTACTTCTTAGTAAGAACCTCTTTAACATGTATATCAATAAAGATCTTTTAAGGAAAAAAATTATGAACTTTGAAATAAGACGGATTGAAATGTTATATGTAGAAATAAATATAATATTTAACTAGTTCTTATATATATAATCGGAGACAGTATTATTGCAAAATTCTTCTTTTATGCCAACGTAGGCAACTATGATTTCTACCAATCCATTCATTAGAAAATATACCTATTCTAATATTTAATTTATTTAAATTAGTTAACTATTTCTTATATTAAGCACAGGAGGTAGTATTCCTTTCTTTTGCATAAAACATGAGAATCATAATATATATATATATATATATATATATAGAGACTTTCCCCACCAGCATGACAATACTCATTCTATTTAATATTTATTTCTTCAGTTATATCTTTGGCTTCCCTCAAGCAATCATCCTTATTCTTATACTTACCTTTTCTAATCTGAACGATTTCTTTTCTAATCTAAACATACAAAGAAATGTTAGATGTATTGTCATAATTAATACATTTAATTTCATTCTCTTCCCTTCTTTTTTATTTCCTTTCCAAAAAATGGCATTTGTAGCGGATTGATTCTTCAGAGGCATGTTGCACTTGCACCTGCCATGTGGTTGATTGATCTGGCGGTTCTTTACATGTGACGATTTCATTGGAGCTCAAACTTATCCACACCCATTCTGGTCAAAAAAAAAAAAACTTATCCACACCCACATCAAAAACTGATTCTTTCCTGTCCAATCAAGCTGCATTATGCCTCTTGTGTCACTAATTGTGGAAAAATGAACTGACTTACTTTTCATTAAAGGAAGAGTCATATATATACAAGAAGCTTTATCTGTAACAGAATACATATTAATAACAGAATTAGTTAAATAACAAAAATGTTAATATACACTTCACACCCCTCGCAAGCTTGAGTATGGATATTTTTCATGCCAAGCTTGGAAATGAGATCATGAAAACGTGTGGGATGGAGGGGTTTGGTGAAGACATCAGCCAGTTGGTCTGTAGAGCGCACTGGTAGAAGATGAATGACTTTGGCTTGAAGCTTCTCACGAACAATATGACAATCAAGTTCAATATGCTTGGTTCTCTCATGATAAGTAGGATTAGCAGCAATTTGTAATGCAGGCTAGTTATCACAGTAAAGAAAAGCAGGATCAAAATGAGATATGCTGAAATCATTTAGCAGATATAAAAGCCATTGAACTTCACATGTGGTGGAGGCCATAGCACGATATTCAGCCTCTGAAGAAGAACGTGAAACAGTTGGCTGTTTCTTTGCTTTCCATGAAATGAGTGAAGAACCAAGAAAGATGGCATAGCCAGTGACAGATCGACGACTATCAACACAGCTTGCCCAGTCAGAATCGCTGAAGGCTTTGAGTCTTAGATCAGAATTAGAAGAGAGAAATGGCCCAGCACCTGGGGAGGACTTAATGTATCTCAAGACCCTATGCGCAGCTTGCAAATGTGTATCCCTAGGTGTTGACATAAACTGACTGAGCTGTTGAGTAGCAAAACTTAAATCTGGCCGAGTAGTAGTAAGATATTGAAGTCTGCCAATGAGTTTTCTATAAGATTTAGGATCATCAAGTAACACTCCTTTATCTTTAGAAAGCTTAAGGTTGGGATCCATGGGAGTAGTGGCAGGTTTACAAGCTAGGTAACCAGTATCCTCAAGTAGCTCAAGGGCAAATTTACGCTGTGAAAGAAAAATGCCATCTTTTGTTCTGGCAAGTTCAAGTCCTAAGAAGTAGCGAAGGTCTCCAAGATCCTTAATGGTGAAGGCTTGGTCTAGCTGCTGTTTGATGTGGTTAATCTCAGCTATATCATTGCCAGCAAGAACAAGATCATCAACATACACAAGAATAACAGTGAATGAAGTAGATACAGCCTTGAAAAACAAAGAATGGTCAGAAGCAGATTGAGTATACCCATAGGAGACTAGAGCAAAAGAAAGTTTGGAATACCATTGACGACTTGCTTGTTTAAGACCATAAATGGTATCTAGAGCCTAAGCCTCCCCGTCCTTTCTTTTTCTCTCTCTTTGACCGAACTTCCCCTTTCTCCCTTCTCTTTCAACCTAACTTTTCTCTCTTTGACCGAACTTTCCCCTTTTCCCTCTTTCTCTTTCAACCTGCTTCACCGTCTTTTCAAGATTCTCCATGGCCGACCCAACTTCGTCTTCCTCTTCCTTTTCATCTTCTTCCTCCAGTCTTTCCTCCAATATTTCTTCAATCGATCAAACCAGTCCTTATTACATTCATCCAAGTGAAAATCCTGCCTTGATCTTGGTTGCTCCTCCTCTGGATGGTTCGAACTACCATAGCTGGTCACGAGCGATGCGTATGGCCCTGCTTTCGAAGAACAAACTCAAGTTTGTTGACGGTTCCATTTCTCCTCCTCCGACGACCGATCCTCTGTATTCTGCCTGGGAACGCTGCAATACTCTGGTTCAAGGCTGGTTGACAAAATCTCTGTCTCCTACGATTGCCAAGAGTGTCCTCTGGTTCGACAGAGCATCTGAAATTTGGCTCTGATACCATGTCACTAATTGTGGAAAAATGAACTGACTTACTTTTCATTAAAGGAAGAGTCATATATATACAAGAAGCTTTATCTGTAACAGAATACATATTAATAACAGAATTAGTTAAATAACAAAAATGTTAATATACACTTCACATCTTGTGCATATGTTCTTGGCCGTTAGATTGATCTCGCGGTCTTTATCATCCACTCAATATTATTCCGAACTTGAAACGTGTCGTTTAATGCAAGAGCCTATTCTGAAGGAATATGCAGTTATTTTATTTCTATATTGTGAATGTGAAATGCTTTGCTGACATAAAAGTTAATACAATCGGCCATCAAGCAAGGGACTGCGTTAACTCAGCATAAAGCATTATAAAGATACATGGGTGAATTGAAACCTCCTGAACCTGAAATTAACTGCCTCAAAAGCTAATATGAAGAACACCTCAGTACTTTTTATACTTATTGTGTGTCTTCAGCAACGCTTTCTAAAATTGGACCCAGCAAGCCTTTTTAAAATAAGGAATGAAGACAGAGTATGGTCCTTCCGTCCATTGCTTAACTTGAAGTTTGACGTAGCAGTTTCTTAAAACTTGTCTTGTTTGCTTCCAACGACAAGTTGAGTCTGGTCTCAACTCCCACGCGACTGATAAACCAACCTCACTCTCCCTCTCATTTACGTTTAGGCTCAACCATTGTAATTAATGAAACACCATCGATTCATTTGTCAGCACACAGACTTGCATTATTTAAGAGTCTCACTAAGTGAACTTTTTTTTTTTTTTTGTGGAAAGATAAAATTCCATTTTATCTTCTTAAGGCCCGCTTTCATTTCAAGCAGGAAAGCTTATTTTGACATGATGATTTACTTGTAGTCTTCAAAATTTCGAGAATTTTTTAAGCGTTAGAATATATAGACGACGAATCAAATTGATCCCGTACAGGTCTACTTACCAAATGATTATTCAACTCATAAAGTCTTTTGTGATATCATGTTGAACATTCCTATCATTAAATTAACGACGATAAAAACCATTGGTTTGCACTTTGAGAACTAAACTGAACCTAAAGAACTTCTGAAGACTAAGACAAAGTTGGCGCGATAACATCACGCTTAAGCCATTGCTTCTCCTTAACGATAAAGCTTTGCCTTTTCCTATTATGTTTGGTCTCATGTAACTCTCTCACTTTGAGCTCGAATTTTCAACCTCTACTTTTGATGATACAAAAATAACTACATGTTGTGTTTCTGAGTGTTTGTCTTGTCCTTGAAATCTCAACCTCTACGGCAGTTCATTGGCCTTCAAGTCCTTATCAGTATATCGCTTACAAGCTTTGATCTTCAACCCCTTCGCCACCTAATCACCCTTGGGTTCTATAAACCTTTTTTAAACAAACTTATACTCTCCAATCTACCTTCATACGATTCATATATATACTCGAACATCTTTGCCTCCATGTCTCATCCTTGTGCAGTAAATCAAACGCATTGAATCGAAGCAGTTCTGCGAGAAACAGACATGGCTGGCCTGATCTTCTTCTCAGGTCACATATCTTGCCTGATCTTCTTCTTTCTACTTTTGGGCTTGGCATTTTCTCCAGCTGAAGCAGCCGTAAAGAGATACCAATTTGATGTGAGTAATCAACGTGCTATCATTTGACAGTCCTGCCCTGTGTGTATATCTATATTATTGATCACACGCTTGGCTGTTTCTGCAGATTCAAATGACAAACGTGAGTAGACTCTGCCATGCAAAGCCCATAGTAACGGTGAATGGGAGGTTTCCAGGGCCAACTATTTATGCCCGAGAAGGAGATAGAGTGCAAATCAATGTCACAAACCATGTGCCGTATAACTTGTCAATTCACTGGTATGAAAAGCCAATTTCTGTTCCTATTTATGAGACGTAAACATATTAAAATGTGTCAAATTGTCAATTAATGAGTTAATGCATGGATGTGGTGAATGATTATCACAGGCATGGACTGAAGCAATATCGCAATGGTTGGGCTGATGGACCTGCTTATATTACACAGTGCCCTATCAAAACTGGAAGTAGCTACACATATGACTTCAACGTTACAGGACAACGGGGGACTTTATGGTGGCACGCCCACATTCTTTGGCTGAGAGCTACTGTGTATGGTGCCATTGTGATCATGCCTAAGCCTGGAACCCCATTTCCTTTCCCTCAGCCAGCCAGAGAATTCGAAATTCTTTTAGGTCATTTCCGCACTTCTCAGTCTTCTTTTCCATTCATTTTGTTAAACCAGATGTTCAAGTAAGAAACTGGGCTTGTTCAACAGGGGAATGGTGGAACAATGACGTGGAGTTGATTGAAAAGCAAGGAAACAGAATGGGGTTGCCGCCAAATATGTCTGATGCGCATACGATCAATGGGAAGCCTGGACCACTCTTTCCTTGCTCTGAGAAACGTAAGAAATTATAATTAGAAAGCCTAAGTTATTATAATAATATCTTTACTCCAAAGAAAGCCAAATAATCTGGGAGTATGTTTTCTTTTTAGATACATTTGCAATGGAGGTTGAGCAGGGGAAGACCTACCTTCTCAGAATCGTCAACGCTGCGCTCAACGATGAGCTTTTCTTTGGGATTGCGGGTCACAACATGACAGTGGTGGAAGTTGACGCAGTTTACACGAAACCATTCACAACACAAGCAATTCTGATAGCTCCTGGACAGACCACAAACGTTTTGGTAAAAGCCAACCAAGTACGAGGTAGATACTTCATGTCTACCAGGGCCTTCATGGACGCTCCAATCCCAGTAGATAACAAAACAGCCACAGCTATTCTTCAATACAAAGGTGTCCCAAACACTGTCCTCCCACTCCTCCCACAATTACCGGCTAGAAATGACACAGCTTTTGCGCTTAGCTACAACAAGAAACTGCGAAGCTTGAACTCTGCACAGTACCCTGCTAATGTTCCTCTCAAAGTCGACAGAAACCTGTTTTACACTATTGGTTTGAGCAAGAATTCGTGCCCCACATGCGTGAATGGAACTAGGTTACTTGCTTCCTTAAACAACATCTCTTTTGTGATGCCCAAGACTGCGCTTCTTCAAGCTCACTACTTTAATCTGAAGGGAGTGTTCAGAACTGATTTCCCCGATCGGCCTCCAACCACTTTCAACTATACCGGTGCACCATTGGCTGCTAATCTTGGAACTTCCACAGGCACGAGGATTAGCAAGATTGCCTTCAATTCTACAGTTGATCTGGTTCTGCAGGACACGAATCTGCTCACTGTTGAGTCACACCCATTCCATCTCCATGGATACAACTTCTTTGTGGTTGGTACTGGCATTGGCAATTTCGATCCAGCAAAAGACCCTGCGAAATATAACTTGGTAGATCCTATGGAGAGAAACACTGTTGGTGTTCCCACCGGTGGATGGACTGCAATTCGTTTCCGTGCTGATAATCCAGGTACTTGTGTGTGTGTGTTATATTTATATATATAAGAATCATATGTGTCAGCAATACTCTGTATTTGATTGATAAGATTTTTGATTGGTGATATATGGCGGCCTAGGTGTTTGGTTCATGCATTGCCATTTAGAGCTGCACACTGGTTGGGGGTTAAAAACGGCGTTCGTGGTAGAAGATGGACCGGGACAAGATCAATCTGTTCTGCCTCCGCCCAAGGATCTTCCACAATGTTAGCTTCAAATTTGGATTTGTTTGGAATGTAATTTGGTGATTTAATTGTGATTTAGTTGTTTGTATGCTAAGCTTTCATGCATAAGTTGCGGAAAGTTTGGTTACGAGATATAATGGGAGAGAACAATCCAATACCAACATCATATCATAATGTAATAAAATGTCAAAAATGTACTAACCAACCAGGCTATACTTGTCCTCGCGTTTCCTTTTTTTTTTTGGGTAACATGTTCTTGTGTTTCTTGTTACTCTGACCTGTAATTTGTTCAACATTCTCTTGTATTCTTCACCCTAGAATGAAATAAAATTAAAGTTACCACTTTTTATATTGACAGTTTTTACATAACAATATTATTTGTGAGAAAATGCATCAGAACTTGTAGTAGCTATTCAGAATCCAAACTCAACCTTGATTCATCTCTAATGCTGAGAACACCATATTCTTTTGAATTTTTTCAATGGAAGATGAACTTTTCAGTCCCGTTTTTATCTACAATACTGCATTTTCGATCCACTTCATTTTCGCTACAAATCTAGATGGTCAAATTTATAATGTAACAAAAGTTAGTACTACCTCCAGTCCTAATTATAAGAGTTAGTTGACTAATTTGAGGAGATTAAGGAAAGAAGTTGAGTTAGTTATTTGTAATAAATAAATGGTGTCTTTCCTAAAATATCATTGCTAATCAAGTGTATTGACTAGAACTACTATTGTTAGAAAGATTACTTTGAGAAAAAATATATAAATATGAGAGACAAAGTGGATTGGGGTCTTATATTTAGGACCAAAATAAAAGTAAAACAAGATCTTATATTAAAGACCGGAGGTAGTATTTTATAAACATATCGCTAGAATGTTAAAAAAAGAAAAAATAATAATTAAATCTACATCGCATGCAGATATAATGGTCCGGATCTGCAAAGTGAATCCAACGAAGATGAAGTGGATGGAAAGCGTAGCAAAGAAGTCCTCCCTTACATATATGACCTCACATTTCTTCACTTCATCTTTATTTCAGGGCTCCTTGCAACAAAAATTAAAGTTACTCCCTTATAACAAATAATTTTTTGTTTGTTTGTTTGACATGTGCAAATTTCAATCTGGTCCCTCGCATTAGATAATCTAATGCTTAGAAGCAACATCTGATAATTAGAGTTTTAAGATTTTAGTGCTTTGAATCCAGTGGTCAGTCGACATTATTAATTTAATTTCAATTGTTAACTTTTTTATTCCTAGTATTGGACCGTAATGGAGAATCAAGTGTCTTTCACTCAACCTAATCACCCTTGGTCCATCTAAATTAAATTTAGATAATCTAAGTCAGTAATATTATTTTTATTATATATTATTTTAAACAAAAAATAAACTCTTACAAATTGATTAAAATGGCTGTCTACATTGAAAAGATTGGGTGGATCACCAGCGTAACATCTAGTGGTGAAAATTTGAACCTCCTTGAGAACTACAGATCTCCAAGCTCGACTTCGGTTTGCAATTATATATCGCCCCACATATCATGAATCTCTTTGATATGGCACGATCCACCCCCAGCAAAGAACTCATGCACAGCTCCGTTAAGGGTGATGGCACTACATCCTTGATGATTCACAAGTCCTCTTTCTTTGACCTCTCTTCTTACTTGAACTGCTTGGTCCCATTCGCCAGCTGCAGAATGAATGCTTGCCAAATGAATATATCTCCCTTCATGATCAGGGTCCACTTCAATTAGGATTTTCCCAATCTTTTTGCCAAGCTCAAGATTTCTGTGCATATTGCAGGCATTGAGCAATGCCCCCCATATAGCAGCATTTGGCTTTATGGGCATTGAATCTATAAACTCCTTTGCTTCCTTCAACGACCCTGCTCGACCCAGAAGATCCACCATGCATCCATAATGCTCTATAGTTGGCTTCATCTTATAAACGGAACTTATGCTCTCAAATAGTGACTTTCCTTCTTCAATTAGTCCTCCATGACTACATGCAGTCAGAATTGCGGTGAAAGTAATTGAAGTTGGCTTGATTCCAGTTTTCTGCATCTGATTAAACCATTCAAGTGCTTCTCTTCCCCTTCCGTGGACGGCAAAGCCGCCGATTAAAGCTGTCCAGGCGCACACACATTTCTTCTCCAATTTCTTAAACACTTCTTTGGCCTTTTCCATTTCACCACACTTGACATACACATCCACAAGTGCACAGCCCAAAATTGAATCTTCTTTTATTCCATTTTTATGAATGTAGGCGTGAATCCATATAGCTTGGTCCAATGCTCCCAGACCTGCACATGCTGAAAGAGAACAACTCAGAGTTACACTATCAGGTTTGAACCCGGCAATCATCATTTCTTGAAAAAGAGACAGAGCTTCCTTGTTCAGTCCCACCTTAACAAACCCATTAATCATGGTTGTCCATGAAATAACATTCTTCGCTGGCATGGCTTGGAAAATCTCGTTAGCCATGTCTATGCTTCCAAGTTTGATGTACCCATCAATCATTATATTCCAAGAAACAATATCTCGTTGGGGAAGCCGATCAAACAGGCGGCGTGCATACTCAATGCTGCCGGAATTTCCATAAACATGAAGGAGGGAGTTTGTGGCATGGACCTCTGAACCAAAGCCCCTTTTGATTACGTGAGCATGAATTTGTTTGGTTTCTTCAAAAGCTGAGAGAGCAGAACATGCTTTGAGAAGGAAAGGGAAAGTGTAGGCATTGTACGTGACCGGATGATGGAGCATCTGTTGGTAGAAAAGCAGGGATGCTTCTGGGAAATTACTGTTTGAGTATGCTCTGATCATGGTGTTCCACATGATAATGTTAGGGGATTTTATTCCGTCAAAAATCATTCGAGCATAAGATAAGTCCCCAAATTCTGAAGATGTGCATGAATCTAAGAGCTTGCTTACTGTAATCTGGGGCGTATAGCTTCCATGTTTCAAAACGCGGGCATGAATCTGCTTTAGTTCTTTCATGCTTGAGCATCTCTCGAGCAGATTCAGGGTCTCCTCCGCATTGCTTTGCAGTAAGGGTTGGTTTGAGGGAGTTAGCAGCATTCTTATCACTAAGCACAAAGAAATCAAAGTATAATTGAATCGAGAAAATAGAAATGCGTTGGGTAAAGTTCAGAATAAGGCAATCTGACGTTTTGTATTCAAGGCCTCTGTTATTCACCCGTGTTGGGATAAGATACTTGGACATCGAACAAAGAATCCTCTTTACAAGAAAACAGAGCAAGAAAATCACAGAAAATTAGAATACTTATTATATTAAAAAAAACTAAAATTTGAATCACCCTTTATAGAAATTTGTTATTTCCAGTGCTATTTTGTATTTTCTAGGTTCTTTTTCCTTTTCAGCTCAAAAAAAAAAAAAGGTTCTTTTTCCTTAAAAAAACTATTTCTTTTTATTTAATAAATAAATCATGCCTAAATCGGTTGGCAAAGAAAAAAAATCATGTCTAAATCAATTTCTTTTATTTTAGTTACTAAAAATTATGTTTTTATAAATAAAAAAGTTAAATAATAAAAAATGATTATTGCTGCATCTTAATTAGTTTTTAATGATCTTTTTACTCAATTTTATCCATATATTCAATTTTTATTGATTTTTAGTTTTGTTAAATTTTATAAAAATTAAATTAAATTAAATTAAAATCTCTCCTAGAGCGTGTGATATTTCATGTTTATTTTTCTACCTAAATAAATTTTATGGTATTTTATAAATAGATTTACACCTTAACCCATCAATAAATAGGATTTCTTTTTAGTACTTGTTTGGAGCTGCTTAATATAAGCACTTCTAATAATGTTCATGTAAATCAAGACAAATCTCTTCTTATGAACTTATCTAGTATTTCTTAAATTATTATTAAAAAATTGCTTTTGAAAGATCATATTGTCATCCAAACAAATCCTTAGCCCCTCCAACACACACTTGGTAGGAAAGCAACATGAGTCCCTAAAATTTGAAAATTGACTTCAAAATGTACCTAATAATTATGATTTTTATGGTTCTTTTACAAAATATTGACTTAAATAGGTTTATTAGCAAAATAATAAAATTCTCTTATTTTAATTTAATTCTCTGATAATAGATGGACAGCTTGGATTTCATAAAATCAAGCATGTCAAACTCAACTCCGTGAAAATAAATAAAAAGATAAAGTATATATTTGATCATTTAACTTTGTATAAGATTTTAATTTAGTTTCTTAACTTTAAAAAGTATACATTTGGTCATTTAACCCTAAAATTATTAAATTTCAGTGATGATTTTTTGTAACAATCATGGATTTTTTGAAACTAAACTTAATATGTTAGCATTTGATAATGTTTTATCAATATTTAAGATCTCAATGTCATCATTTTTTAAAAAAATTTAGGATTAAAGAACTAAAAGTATACTTTTTAAAGTCAAAAGATCAATAAAGAACTAAATATATACTTTAGCCTAAATAAAAGTTAAAGGACTCGCTTATTTCACTCTCTGAAATAATTAATACTGTTCTCAACGTAAAATTTTTTCTAATGTTCCAGTCGTGTTTGTTTGAAAAACTCCTATAATTATTTAAATTATTTAAATATTTTATAAGATAAAACTCTTCTCGTATTTTTATACTAAATTATTTAAAATAAGCTAATATAATGATAAACATGGAATGATTGTTTGCATAAAATCAATATATGAAGATACATCATACATTGCTATTACAATAACACGCCTCTCATATTACTTTCTTCTCATTTTTAATTTCAATACAAAATCTTATTGTTTTTGCCAGTTCGATACAAAATCTTACTACGGGTCTCGTATGTATGGATATCTATTTCATCCAAAACCATCGCCAATCGGGTCGTTCTATGCTCTGATTTTTCGAGAAAATGTGGGCCCATGTTGGCCCCTTTTGATTAAAAACAAAGCAATAATCTTCGGCTAATTGACAAATTTAAGTGAATTTAGAAAGTTAGTTAAATTAATTATTTGTAATAAATATGTGTTATCTTTTATAGAATGTCTTTGCTAATCATGTATATTAATTAAAACTATCATTTGATGAAATCATTAATATATACACAATAAGGAGTACTTTAAAAAAATATATAAATATAAGAGATAAAATGAATTGAAATCTTATATTTAGAATAAAATTAAAAATCAAAATAGCTCTTATATTAAAAATTAACCTAATATAACGGGAAAAATAAGAAAATTCGGCATCATACTCTTAACCATTTTCTTAGGATAAATTTTTCACATACACTGAAGAACATGTTTTGTAGGAAGGAAGAAAAAGTTTTAAGAAATAGAGATTGACATAAAATCCACGTTATAGAGTAGTAGTTTTCTTTTCCTGTGAAAATTTCACCTTTCTTCAAACATAAGAAAAAAACCTTCCATAAAAATAGTTAAAAAAATGTCACTTTTTTTTTCCTGGAAACTGTGATTTTAGAGATGAAAATAATTATCTCTTTTTATTAGAAAGGATATTGTATTATTTACTTTTGAATTAAAAAAATTTATATTCAAATATTTTTATATTTTACCAACAAAAAAAGTGCAAATTATTTTGATAAAAACCCCAATTTCCTTTCCAATTCTAATTCCTCTATACTATCCTAATTTCTTACGAGGGCTTTTCTGCTGTTCTCTTTATGGACACCCGAAGATTAAGATTCCATTCATCGAGTGTATCTACACTTAGTGCAATAAAAAGACTTGTCTTTCTCATACATAGAAAGGTTCACTGTTTGTTCTGTTTTGGGGGCAAACGTTAGCGGTTCACATGAATATTCTGCATGTTTGTGAGCAGTGAGTAAAAAGTAAGAGGAAAAAGAAAGAAAAAAAGAGAAAAAACCGTTCTTCACCAATTTTCCCCCCCCTGTTTTGTGACATCCATTAATTGTTGCTTACTCTACCAATAATACAAACCAAAGGTCTTGCTCATGTTTAATGAACTACTCGGCTGTTTAAATAAAACAAGTGGCTTTTTTTTTTTTTGAGCAAAAGAAAGTCCATATTATTAATATTTCAAAAAGATAAACACTCACTAATAACCTGAAAAGAAACGAAAGGGAAACACAAAAGGCCAAAAAAACCACAGCAGAAAGAAAGGACAGAAAGCAATAAAAGCCTAGAGTACAACCTAGAGAAAAGGCAAGGAAAAAACAAGACTTAGCCTATACCAGCACGAACAGCCACAGAAGCACCATCACTGTCTAGGTCTTGCAACAGAATACTACGCAGAGAGGGTGGTGGATCTTCAATCCATCCTTGCGGGACCACACTTCTCATTGCCAAAGCTGCAATATTATCAGCAGCATTATTGCCTTTTCTAGAAACCAAAGACAAATCCCAGTTGCAGTCAACCCTTCCCAGATCCAAGCACTTCTGTAACACATCTCTACACCTCCAATCACACCCGACTATATCCTTATCCTTTATACGCCTGTACAACTCCAGACAATCAGTCTCTAAAATTGCTTTTCCAACTCCAAATAAATCTCTGATATTAAAGGCTTCTAATAAAGCCAAACACTCTGCCATAAATGCAGACTGGGCTTCTACTTTCAACCCCACGCCCCCTAGAAACCTCCCATCCTTATCTCTCCCAATAACCCCGACCCCAGCCAAGCCATTTTCTGCATCATAGGCACCATCAACATTAATCTTCACCGTGCCTTGTGTTGGTTTTTGCCAAGCCTGGGCCCTTTCATAGCTCTGGGGGGCCGAAAGCCTACCACTCTTCCTACTCAAGCTGCTCCAAAACTCATTAGTCAGTCTAATTGCCGTTTCCAGACATCTTACAGCTTCAACTTCCCTTCCTTCAAAAATGGAACCACATCTGCATTTCCAGATTTGCCAGCAAATACAAGCAAAGAGGGCTATATTATAATCATCAGTCACAGATTTATTAGCAGTCCAATTCTCAAACCAGCGATCAAACCTCACCATAATACTTTCATCAAACTTCAAAGCTAAAGGCGAGCCAAACCAGCAAAGTTTTGCCCAAGAACACAAGAAAAGGGCATGCTCAACTGACTCTTCCTGAGAATGACAGATATTACAAGCAGGAGCATGAGCGCATCTTCTCTTGTGTAAAGCATATTTAGTTGCCAAAGCACCGCACAAAGCTCTCCACAGAAAGTGAATAACTTTTGGTGGAGCCTTAATCTTCCATAAAAATTTCCAAAGGCCATCATCTACCCTGTAAGAGCAACTTGGAGTATCTTTGTCAGTGGCTAGCTTCAGGTCTCTAGCTATCTTATATCCCCTCTTCACAGCATAGGTGCCATCTTTATTGCCCAACCATATATACTTGTCTTCTTCCTCAATAATAGGAATCCGAGCTCTCCTTATTGCTTCTTTATCTTCGTTCGAAAGCCATTGTTCCACCTTCACAAAACACCACTGTCTCTCAGCTATAATATCTGCAACCATCACAGCTTTCATGTCGTCAGTAAGATCCCTCTGCCTCAACTTGTATCCTTTGGCCTCAGGTAACCAGCTATCTTCAAATAGCTTCACTTTGTCTCCTTTACTCACCCTCCATACTAGATCTCTCCTCAACAGTTCCCTTCCATCCAGCATACTAGACCAACACCAGGACGGCTTGCTTCCCTTGTCAGCTTGCATAAAATCTTTATCATGGAAGTATAGACCCTTCAGAATCTTACACCAAAGATCATCTTGATTCTGACACAGCCTCCATGCCGTTTTAGCTAATAAAGCATCATTGAATTTCATGAAGTCACGAAATCCCATTCCACCACCCCCCTTATCCTTGCACATATACTTCCAAGACTTCCAATGTATTCTGCCTTCATTTTCCTTCTGCCCCCACCAAAAGCCGGCTACCAAACTGTCTAGTTCCATGCAAACATTCTTTGAAAATTTGAAGCAAGACATCGGGAAGATAGGAATTGCATTTGCTACTGCCTTAATCATAATCTCTCTCCCAGCAAAGGTCAAGAGTCTCTGCTTCCATCCTTGCACCTTTAATCCCATCTTATTCTTCACAAATCTCAGAGCTTCCGCTTTGGATCTGCTCCAAATAACTGGTAACCCCAAGTATCTGCCCGGATTCACTGCTGCACTTATTCCCAGCACCTCAAAGGCTTCCTGCTTCACCTTTTCAACCGAAAACAAGTGGCTTTTAAACAGAGTATTATTGTACTGTTAAATTTCTTTTCATGAGCTTTATAATTCTTAACCAAAATCAAGTGGGTCATTGAGAATAAGAAGTAACGCGCCCACTGCAAACTCTTGACAATATACTACAAAATTGCCAGCCGCGATCGGCTAGGAAAAGGCATATTTTCCCGTCACGCAACAATTCTAGTGCTCATCGTCCATAATGTCTCCTTAAGAAACCATGGCTCTCTCATACCCCACTTCTTCTTCTTCCGTTCGCCTTCATAACTTGTACTTCCTCCATAGCTTCCACCTCCTTCTAGTCGCAGTTTTCTCAGCGAGCTCCATTCCATGGCGCATCACAGGATGCTTTCTGTAAGGTTTGGAGAAGAAATCAAATCTTCTTCGAGAATGAAGCATGATGGGATTAGAAATGGCACTCTACGTGGTAACAAGAAGCAGGATCCAACATGGGAGGAAAAGCATATAACTCCTTCCAAAGGAAGAATCAACGAAATGTTTGCAGAGACAAGACTTTATGAGAGTCCCCAAGGGCATATTTCATTAACAGGTTCTGCAGGGTCGATTCAGTCTGGTCCTGTTTTCTTTTCGAATCGAACCCACAAGAGTATCCAGAGCACATCATCATTGTCGTCATCATTTAGATCTAGTAGAACTTCACTTTCCAGCTCCTCTGGAGGGAAAATAACGGAGAAGAAGAAAAAGGAGGAAAAAGGAGCATTGTTTTCTTGTATGGGACGAAAATCATGCAAGAACTCAAGAAGATCACCGGAACGTGCAAGAGTTAATGAAGCATTGATCATCGAGAGAGCGTGCGTGGTGGAGAGTCTGCCACAATTCTGGGCAGATAAGTACCGACCTGTTTCCCTGAATGACTTCGTTTGCCACAAACAAGAAGCTCAACTTCTCAAGCAATTTGTAAGCTCAGCTTTCTTATACTTGTCCTGCTCTGCCCCTCAATGGCTGCTGATGTATTAAAATAAGACCTCTCGAATCTTGAAAACTTTTAACGCCAATCCTAGTCGTCCCTGAATTTTATCACGATTACATAAATTTATCATTTGTTATTTAAAATTATATTTCTTATGAAATAAATAATGACATAAAAATCCCCCATTGACTCTTAGGATATGTTTATATTATTTTCGCAAAAATAAGGAGTTGGTTTTTATTTTCAATGGAAAATTTCATAAACTTGGAAAAATGAAAGAGACATTGTGTAGTTATTAAACAAATTGAGAATCATGTAGTTCCCTTTTTTTTTTTTTTAAAGTTCATGTAGCTCCCTCTTAGTTCAAAATAAGCACGTATCAATTGTTAAAAAAAACTTACACAATTTCATCAAAATTTATAAGAAGTTCGATTGCAGAATAATTTCCGCATCGTATACTAGCGCTTCTAATTGAGATGATTTTGACTAATAGGTGTCTCTTGATGAAATTCCACACGCTCTGCTAAAAGGTCCCCCCGGTACGGGGAAAAGAGCCTTAGCAATGGCTCTTCTGCGAGAAATATACGGCGAGGAGTGTTGGAACGTATGCATCTTGATTTGACCTCGCCTTATATATTTCACAATTTCTGAGCTCACCTTACTGAACACTTTTTGATGCAGTTATCCCACGATATAAGATATTTCCCCTTTCAGGTACAGATTTCCCAAGTTCTATTCATTCTAACCTTGATTGAAACCCATCTCTGAATCTCGTGGTTAGTAAATGACAGGAAGGTAGGCCTACGAAAATAAGTGTTCCAATAACGTTCAGTCGTCATCACGTGGAACTAAACGTAAATTTGGAGCGGAATGCTAAGCATGCTTTGATTGGGTTAGTGAAGGAAATGAACTGTATCTATGCAGTAACACCCCAAGATGCCAATCTCAATATCAAGTCAGATTGTCAAGGTCAGTTCAAAGAATATGCACATAGACTTGTACTCTACTTCTCACAGTCTGTGAGGCTACTAATAAGCAGCATGCTTTAAATCGTGTTCAGTGGTAGTTCTCTATGAGGTTGACAAGGCAGGACAGGACATCCAGCACATAATCTCATGGATTATAGATTGCCACTCCCAAATATGCAAACTAATACTCTGCTGCCAAGATGATGTTGACATTCCTGACTCTGTGAGGAACCTGCTCAAAGTGATTGAGGTTCGTCCACCTACTATTACTCAGGTAAGAATACAGCTTTTTTGTTCCTCTTCTTATTTGGTTTGAACTTTAAGGATTTAAGTGTTGTAAATACTGATGTGGAACCCCAATATCCCAGATTGTAGAGATTCTGTTTGAGATAGCAAGGAAAGAGGATATTCATCTATCAATGAATTTTGCTGCTATGATTGCAGCAAAATCTAATCAGAATCTCAGGCAAGCTATCATGGCTCTTGAGGCATGCAAAGCATTCAAGTAAGATGATGAAATGACAAAACTGCACAACCCCTCAGATTGCATTACCAAGTGTGGATCCAGACGGCTTAAAGAGGGAAAAAAAAAAAATTTAACTTCTGTTGCTTTGCATCAGAGTGAGGGAAATATGATATATAGAAGGATAGATTTCTTACCCACGTTTGCATTGTTTTGTTTTCTTGTTCTACAACATCTCAGTTAAGGAAACCTGTACTTTTCTATGCAGATATCCATTTTTGAAAGAACAGCCAATTTCAATTGGATGGGAGGATGTTGTAATAGAAATTGCTTCAGAGATCATAGCTGATCCATCAAATTCATGGTACCAAAATTTCAAAATGGAAAGGAAAATCTCTATCCATGTTTTGAAGACTGCAATAGATCAAATAGTGTTTTCATTTTAATTCTTTTCTCTTGTGGTTTGATCAGCCTAATCTCAGTAAGAGAAAAATTTCAGAAGCTTATGGAGGATTTTGTTCACCCAAAACTCATTCTCCAGGTGATGAATCACTTATGTCTTGTAACACTTAACCAAAATACTACCTCCAATCCTAATTATAAGATTTCATTTGTAAATTACAAATAAAATCTTATAATTAGAACATGAGGTAGTAGTATTTTCATTTTGTAATGGAACTTGTGTCCTGACACATGCAGAAACTAGTGGAAGAACTTTTGAAAAATATCGAAGCCAGCTTAAAAAGGGAACTCTACTATTGGCACGCTTATTATGTGAGTTTCTCTTCCTCATCAAACTTTCTACAATATGATACAAAATTAGTATACCAAGTCGTATGTTTCCACTTTACAGGACAAAAGACTCCCACCTGGAACTATAGCTTTAAACAAGTTAGCTGGTAAAGACATCGAAACTCTTCTAATCCCTGTCAAAAAACAAACACGAGTGACACCAGAATTACTCATTTTGCATATAACAAGATATGCAAAGTCTTGCTGTTTTAGTACATGAGATTGATATGCAATTCTCCGCAGAATTTGTGGCCAAGTTTATGAGCATATACAGAAAGAGCTGTGTCAGCAGGCCATATATGTGAGCAGATATGGACTTCTCATCTTAATCTGCTAAATCAAAAGGAGAATGGAATTTCAGTATAACGGTGATGCGGAGTCCGAGGTTCTCAATGGGATCATCAACATTGAGCACACCTATGTATGATGAACATGAGCCGCACTAGGCAGTGTTCTTGTAAAACACAGTGAGAATGAATAGCAGCAGATAAAGATAGATGTTGGTAAGGAGTTTCTTGGACGCGTACACACTATCAAAGAAAAACCTCTGATTTTTTCTTTTTTCACATACAAGTTCATGGCAAAAAATGTGCAGATAAAACCCCCTAACTTTATTTCAGCCGATGGAATTTCACTTCTATTTCATAACGTGTTGAGTTCGTTTCTCAACTGGGCTAGTTCTCACGGATCAAATCACGCTTCCCCCAAAAAGATAAGATGATCCTCCAACAGTATCCCCACAGACTAGAACATCAGGCATGCTGTGGAAGGGGCGGTTCCAGCTGTGAAACATAATAATACTCCAAAACAAATGAAAGATAACGTTGGACGAGGAGGATGAAAGGTTCCCCAAAATAAATAAGGAAAATGAAAGGGGTTCGTAATTTCCAATGTCATTATGTACCTGGACAATTGTCTTTTAATATGTTTCCCAATGGGGCCATCGCTGGAGCGATTACGCCAAAGCAATTGCATTTCTTTCCACCGCAACTATTGTTATTTGCTTTTCTTGGCTCCTCGTATCCTTGTTCTCAGACAAGGTTTTAAAAAGATAATTTTCAATAAAAAAGTCTTAGAGACCATAAAATGCTTCTATTATGCTTTACTAAATGTATCTTAGACTTGAATTTATGAGTTAAACGAGTTATGCCATTTTTTAGAAGTACTATATGGAAGAAATAATTATATAAAATCTCTCTTTCTATTAATGGTCTTGTGAGACGTCACAGGTTGACAATCTTGCTGGACACTGGCCAGGAAGATCCTGACCATGTGCCTTGAAAATGTACGCTGGCCAATTCATGTTGGAACAAACAGATCTTCGCCCATGAATCCTACACTGCAGCCGATCTTATTTATTCTATCTGTTCATTCTTTTATTTACTGCACTCACAGTGCCAAATCTTTTGTAACTCCTTTTGTTTCTTTTCAGCCGCCCTTTTTTTATTGATCTGCTTGCTCGTAATCACTCATCATTTCATGAATCTCCCTTTTTCCCTCTGTTAAAAAAAAAAAAAAAATTCCTCTCGGTGTTGTGGGAAGCAAACGTTGCGAGACACAAATAGGAGTGCGTGGCACTTATAAAACGGGGCTAACGGACGACACGTGGCGATATTCCGCTGCTCGTTTCTGCGAACGGGAGAAGGAGAGCAGCAAGGGAAACAAGTGAGGGGAAACGCTGCGTCTTGTGTTGAGTCCTCTCCCACTCCTGCTCCCATTCTGGTGGTGCGACTTGTTCGATTCTCTGCCATTTTCTCTGCTGATGTTCTGTTGCTCAATGCTTTGGGTCCTCAACTGATACCCAACTCCTCAAATCCCTGAACTGATCAAAGTAATCTGGGCTCGATTCAAAGACAGGAACATGGGAACCTTGGGCAAAGCATTCTACTCTGTTGGGTTCTGGATCCGTGAGACGGGCCAAGCCCTCGATCGCCTTGGCTCCCGTCTTCAGGGAAACTACTACTTCCAAGAACAGCGTATGTCTCTCCCTTCCTCTATCTTCTGAAACCCTAGAGAGACTGCGTGATTCCTGATATCCATTTTGAGTGCCTTTACTTTTCAACCATCGATCCCTATCAAATGTTGTAGTTGTATCCGGATTATTTGCGGTTAATGTGCCAGCAAATGTGTTTGTAAAGCCCCGCCTTCATTATTCCATTTTGTCTCCTAGGAAGAAAAAAAAAAGAGGAAACTTGGAATTCCTTTTTGGCACTTTCGGCTTAAGGTCTCGTGTTTAATGGCTTTCAAAGTCCTTAATCTCGTTGTTCTGCCTTACATTGTTCGGTACTTTTTTTTCTTTTCCGTTTTTAATCAGATATGGTTCTCCTAAACGTAACAGATTCTATGTTTCTTGGCAGTTTTGTCTTTCGTAATACCTAGTTGTGTAACTAGGGCTGAAAGATTATATATTTAGCTCTGCACTGCCATAAATTTGAAGTATCTTTCCATCTTGGCCAATGACGTTTCAGACCATCTCATTTCAGAGTTTCCTTTGCTTTCTCCCCATTCCCTTTTAATTTGTGGTTCTTTTCAGTGTCTAGGCATCGGACTCTCATGAATGTATTTGACAAAGCTCCTGTGGTTGATAAGGAAGCATTCGTAGCCCCTAATGCATCAATAATTGGCGATGTTCAGGTTGGGCGGGGTTCTTCCATATGGTATGGATGTGTCCTGAGAGGTAAATTGCCCCATCATCAAAACTCTGAAGTTACCTACAATTTTAGCTCATTGATAATGCGGTTTATTATTTGATTTGAATGGAAATTCTTCTCGATTCCTTGATGAAGTTCGATCCTGAACTCTGTTAGAATAGTCTCATAATATCAGCCCCATTGTATACGGAACGCATCATATTAAGCTCTCCCACCCATTATTGTGAACATGATTTGATTTGGGGTAAAAAGGGAATGTATTAGTTGATTTGCGTATGTTGTGTAAATATTTCTGCAGAGAAAAACAGGCGATTTAGATTTTTGTTTTTAATATCAATACAGTACCGTATTGAACACATCATATTAAGCTCAGACAATATAACACCACCTTATCTGCACTCTCTCAGGGAAGTCACCGAATAAAGTTAAAATGAAAAAGTAAAAATAAAAGCACTGAGAGAAGGGGGGGGGGGGTGGGGAGTTCTGCCAAATGACTTGGTCATTATCTTCAGACAAATAACTGGACAGAACAGAGGAAAAAAATACAGAGAAGGATTTCTTTTAATCCATATCTCATCTGTTAATATTTGTCTGAAGGAAGGAGTAGATATTTATACTTAAAAATTTTCCTTCTCTCCCTTTATCGGGAAAATAAGAGGACATATGAGATTTGACAACCAATAAAAAGGGAAAGAAAGAAAGAAATTCCTTAATCCCATTTATTGCTTCAACTATTTGCAGTTATGGGGTATCAAGGACAAACATCTTATCCATCCTACCCGTATATACATAAATACTCACTACATGTATGATGGGGTTGAGTACCAATTTTGCTCACTTTTCCCTTTGTAAGTACACATGTGCTCCACCTGTTGTTTTCTTCTTTTAACTAATGGTACTTTTTGTGTGAACCTGTGAAGGTGATGCTAACAGCGTTAGTATTGGATGTGGAACCAATATACAGGACAATTCTCTTGTCCATGTGGCAAAGTCAAATTTGAGTGGGAAGGTCTTACCAACTATCATTGGAGATAATGTCACTGTAGGTTAGTGACAGAGTCATGGGTAAATTGTGACCATGTTGTGATTGTGTTGAGCTTAGTCTTATTTCAAGTTTTGTCTAAATATTTTGACACTTGTCTCCATTGGATTTCACAGGTCATAGTGCTGTATTACATGGATGTACTGTTGAGGATGAGGCATTTATTGGCATGGGTGCTACCTTGCTTGATGGGGTATATGTTGAGAAGCATGCCATGGTTGCTGCTGGAGCCCTTGTTAGGCAGAATACCAAGATCCCCTATGGAGAGGTTTGTATGATTTCTTTTTTTTAGAAGATACTTTTCTGGTCCGCTTCCTGAAAGTTGAATATTTAGATCTTGTCACGACCTGCATTTGTATATTGATGATATAGAGCATTCTCAATGATCCTAGCTGGTTTCAAGTGAACGGTTAGAAAGGGATTCAGCTTAATAGCTTGTGATGCCTGTGTTGCGATTCTCATTTGTCTTTGATCCTTGGAGACTAGCTAAAATTAGTAAGGTTTTGTTGTAGGTTTGGGGAGGTAATCCAGCAAGGTTCTTGAGAAAGCTCACAGAAAATGAAATGGCCTTCTTCGCTCAATCAGCTTTAAATTACGCCAATTTGGCTCAGGCTCATGCTGCTGAAAATGCAAAACCATTGGATACGACTGAATTTGAGAAGGTTGTCCGGAAGAAGTTTGCTCGACGTGATGAGGAATATGATTCAGTCCTAGGTGTTGCCAGGGAACCTCCAGCAGAGCTTCCCCTCCCAAAGACCTCTTGAAATCTTTTGTATTAGGTTTCCTTGAGATTTGCTTGTGTGGATCTCTGTAATTTGCAATTTACCGGAGAACAGCTGCTTTTGTTTCCAATAATTGTGGGCTCTTGCTGATGTCACAAATGTCCTACTAGGATGCAAATATTTGATCCGCGGCCGTGGTCATTTTCGCCCGTCAATTAGATCTTTCTTGATAATAATGACAGAGTAATCTGGATATGGTTTCTGGCACCTGAGGACAAATCTGCTAATCTCCGATTCTCAATTGTTTGCTTGTGCTTCCCTCCCCCCCCCCCCCCTTCTCCTTACCAGAAGTTTTGGTTGTGTTCAAAGTAAGAATAATTGAACTAGGATGCAATATTTCATACTCTGTTATGTTTCTTTTTCTCTCCTGATTAGGTTTCTTTGCTAGTTGCTTGGAGAAAGTTACTGGTTTGCAGAGGCCGTCATTTGACACTGCTGTCCTGTTCTCTTTCTCATAGCGCCCGAGTTTCACCTGGTGAGTAACAATCTTGCTATTTTTGCCATAATAGCGTACTGTACTGTACTGTTATTTTGGCTCCAGCAATTGCAATTGCATAATGTGCTCCCTCCTCTGACCAGGGCACTTTCCTTTCGTCTTGTTTTCAAAGCCTCGAGACTTTTTTCTGGGTCTGCGGAGAACTTGGAGAGTCGAGATTGATATAATATTTATAACACTATCACCTCTTCATCTTAAAAAGTTGTCCGCATTGTGCGCACACTGAGCGAAGCAAATTAACATTCATACCAGAAAACCTTATCGGTACTTTATGTCCAATATGCTCCATAAAATCCACCTTGAGTTCTTTTAAAAAAACAGGATCAATAATTAATACTGTTTCAGATTCTTAATTTAAGAACTAATTAACTAATTTGAGTAGATTGAGAGAATTAGTTAAATTAGTTATTTGTAATAAATGAATATTGGTTTTTTTTAAAATATCCTTGTTAATAAGTGTATTGGCTAAAATTATTATTATTACAAAGACTATATGAAAAAAATGGATAAATATGAGAGAAAAAGTGAATTGAAATTTTATATTTAAGATTAAAATAAAAATTAAACAAGTTCTTATATTAAGAATTAGGGTTAGTAATTGTTATATCTCCATCCAGACACGTTTCTCTCATAAAAATTTACCTGAATTTTAATTATAATTATTTTAATATAAAAACTCGTTTGATTTTTATTTTAGTTTTAAATATAATACCTCAATTCGTTTTGTCTCTCATATTTATCTATTTTTTTTCTAATGTGGTCATTATAATAATGGTAATTTTAGTCAATACACTTGATTAATAAAAATATTTTTTAAAAAATAATACTTATTTATATAAATAACTAATTTAACTAATTTTTTAATACTACCTCAGATCCTTAATATAAGATTTCATTTGAATTTTATTTTGGTTATAAATATAAAACATCAGTCTACTTTGTTTCTCATATTTATATTTTTTTTCAAATAGCTCTTTTAATAATGATAGTTTAAACTAATACACTTAATTAATAAGAATATTTTAAGAAAGATAATATTTATTTATTATAAATAATTAACTTAACTTTTTTTTTAATTGATTTAAATTAGTCAAGTAATAGTATTAGTTAAAGACAGGTGACAATTAGATGTGAGCGTGAGGAACCGACATCAGCTGGCCGGGGAAACTGGCCCCCCGACGATGGTGGTCAAGAGTGTTTTCTCTGCGCTAACAGCAGGAGAGTCTGAGAAATCTGAACAACGAAGAGACCAACTTCGAAGTGCCTTAATGTACTGTGGCTAAAAATGAAGGTTCTTAACGCAGCATGGAGGCATTTGGGAGGCGCTGTTCGGCTTCATCGACGACGATAGCCACTTCCTTGGGCTTAGTCCTTTTTTTTCTACTGCGTTGCCTTCTTTGAGTTGGGTGTTAAAGAATTTAAGAGATTTTCAGTTTTGAAGCGAAAGAGCATTTGGGTCTTTCAGGCAAAGTTTCTATCGGGACAAATCTCGTTCCCTCCGCTGGCCAAAGGAACCACTTTTCTGTTAGATGGAGGTGGAGTCATTCCTCCAAGAATGAAGAAATGAATAGTAAAAGTGTGGCAGTGCACCAAACACGCTTCTGGAGAAAATGGAACCATCTCCCCTTTTCCCTTGGAGAATTCTCCTCCAACCAAATGGTGCTTCAATCCTCAAGTATACTCCCTTCTATGCCCGCACTTCTCCAACCTTCAAAATGTGGGTTTCATTTCCTCCTCCATACAAGGCCCATCACCAAATACATGCATTTTCGGAATCGCAATGCGCACACCCTCAACATGTTTGATGAAATGCTTCAAGGTTGTCTTCCTGCACTTAACTCTTTTATTACCTCGTGTGTTCGCCGACGTGATGCTGCCACGGCCTGGGCAATCTTTCACCGTATGCGTCAAGTGCGTTCTGACATTGACGTTTATACTTTCGCTCCTGTTTTGGGTGCCTGTTCTATGTTGCCTAATGTAGTCCGAGGCAAGCAAGTGCATGCTTTGGTGATCAAAATGGGTTTTGATTCTGGAACTGTGATCGCAACTGCTCTTATGGGCATGTATTCCAAATATGGGCTTCTAGGCGAATCGTTGAAGGTCTTTGAAGAGATAGAATACAAGGATGTAATGACCTGGAACGTCTTGCTTTTGACTTTTCTACGGCATGATCTTCCTCGTGAAGCACTTGGTGTTTTGAAAGCAATGAAAGGGGAGAACGTGGAATTGAATGAGTTTACTCTGTGTTCTGTGCTCCAAACTTGTGCTTCTCTTAAGGCCTTGAAGCAGGGCAAGCAAGTTCATGGTTTGGTGGCCTCCATGGGTCGTGATATGGTGGTACTTAGTACTGCTCTTATTGACTTTTACTCGAGTGTTGGGCACATCAGCGAAGCTTTGAAAGTGTTTTATACTTTGTACTGTTCAAAAGATGACATGATGCACAACTCATTGATATCTGGATGCTTAAGGAATCGAAGGTACGAAGAGGCATTTTCTATCATGCGTATGATAAGACCTAATGCCGTTGCGCTCACCAGTGCCCTTGCAGCTTGCTCTGAGAATTCAGATTTGTGGATTGGTAAACAAATACATTGCATTGCAATACGTAAAGATTTCACTTCTGATACCCAATTGTGCAATGTCCTGTTGGATATGTATGCAAAATGTGGTAGGATTTTGCATGCTCGATTGTTGTTTGATCGAATAAATCGAAAAGATGTTATTTCTTGGACAAGCATGATTGATGCATATGGGAACCATGGGCATGGGCATGAAGCTGTGATGCTCTTTGAAAAGATGAGTGAGGATGGAACCAAGGTATTACCAAATTTGGTAACGTTTATAGCTGTTTTATCAGCTTGTGGTCACTCTATGTTGGTGGAGGAAGGACGAAAATGTTTCCAACTGGCGATGGACAAATACGGTCTTAAACCTGGTCCAGAACACTATGCCTGTTTCATTGATATGTTAGGTCGAGCTGATAGAATGGATGAAGCTTGGTCTGTATATCACAGCATGATTGAGCTGGGTACTCAGCCTACTGCGGGAGTATGGATAGCATTGTTGAATGCTTGTAGTCTTAACGTGGATGCTAAAAGAGGTGAATTTGCTGCGAAACATCTCCTAGAGTTGGAACCCGATAAAGCTAGCAATATTGTTCTTGTATCAAATTATTATGCAGCCATTGGAAGATGGGATTGTGTCGACGAACTGAGAAATATCATGAGCACGAAAGGGTTATTTAAGGAAGCTGGGAATAGCTGGATTACTGTTACTGGCTCCAGTCAAGGTGCCAAGTCTTTGTCCGCTTGATTATTCCATCCTCTAGGTTATGTTTGAATCAAGGGGAATGGAGATGAAGTGAAAGGAACTACTGTGTTAATTTAGATCTAAATTGTGGGTCTAAATTGGACATTCCCTTCTCTAACCCTTTGTAAAAATTCATCCAAACAAAACACGACATCGTCTACTTGTAAATTGGCATGTGTTATTGCCTACGCAACAGATTATTCCTTTGGCCGCTTGGGGCAGGGGATAGAAACTTTCCAGAGTTATCCATTTCGGAGGCTATATTATCAGTTCTAGTAATGAGTTCCATGGGCTTCATTCCGATGGATGGTGAAGATGCTGCATCCAATATCTAATATAAGAGCTAGTTGGTGGTTGAATTTGATTCCAATTATAAGATTTCAATCTATTTTGTCCCTCATACTTACAATTTTTTATCCAAATTATTTTTATTAAATCTACATATTAAGAAGTTTATATTAAGAGATAATTTCAATACAAATAATTTAAAAAGATATTTTACGAAAACTAATAAAAAGGTATTGTAGGAAAATCAATAAGACAAATCACTCATTTAACTAGTTTTGTTAATTTATCCAAATTAATTAAGCAGATCTTATTAATAGTTCTTTGACCAAAAAACAATTTTGACATCTTCTGGCTGCTTTAGGATTACTTTAAGAGACGAGATTTTCCATGCTCTTGTTTTCAACGTTACAAATGATGGATTCTGGTCCGTGGATTGTTTTTGTTGGAAGTACGTCACTCAGTCTAATGTATAACGCAAGCAACCTTATACCGCCAAGAATGGGTCCATAGTCTGACTGTTAAGATTTTTGGAGTAAAAAAAAAAAGAAGTGTGGCTCAGAGTAGGTTAAGCTCAAAGGATTCATACTTTATAAACTGGCATAGCTGAAAATCGGGATTAAGGTAGGATTCATATATTTATTTTAAATGCTCATCATAAATTGTTGCCTAGTTTAAGAAATTTGATGATACTCTCTTTACACTACGCATTAAGTTATTTTAAATTTGTCTTGTCATGCATATAAAACAGGGGGTATGACAATAAGGTTCGAAGTGACTGAATTAATGAAAGGTATTGGCATGGGGAGAGTCTAGTGATCAGCGTTAAATCCTTTTCAAAAAATTTACAGTATAAAGAGATTAGTCATTATTACTAGCAGTAATTATCCTATAACCACCTAAAAAAAAATTATCTGAAAAATGATTTGTCAATATTGATTCAAACAAGTGCAAATTCGGAAATTTTAATTATAGATAAGGCAGTTAATGTTCAATTCATTTATCAAAAAAAATTTTTAGAGACCTAGTAAATATTATTAATCCATTTTTTTTAACTAAATGTCATTTTGCTTATATATTGTTGTCTGGATTTGAAAAATGAAACAATTAAAGGAACAACGGTTCAAACTAGGTTTTCTATTTTTCTTGTTACGAATTCAGTTGAAGTTGAATCGTTCAAGCCTGGTTAATTGAATATAACCAGAAAGTCATCCTTATAATTGTTTATAATTTCTGGATGGTTTCTGTATTTATTGATGGAAATGTTTGAGACGGCACTAGAAAAGTCAACGAAAAATCTGTCATTGATCTTGTTTTTCAAGTCACAGCTGGAATACAAATTGGTAAGCTCAAGCAATGGCAAAGGTCAAACCAGACGGAAACGAGCTTGTAAACTGCGCAAAATTGGAAAATAACACATCTACGGTATGATTTAAAACTAGACGATGTAAGTATTACATCATTTTATTAAAATTTATTATAAATACATCCCGGCCCTAAACATAAGACCTTTTTTGTAGTGTTTATGTTGACGTATTGATAATGACGCATTGATCCTACCGCCTATAATTCACAGAAGTCAAAAGGTTATTTGAGATATCAAATGAAATAGTATTATTTTGAGAAAGAAAACAAAAATTCATAAATAGAAGATCACTTGTATTATTCACTTAGAAGTTTACAAAAAATTGCTGTTAAGTAATATTACCATGAATAAAGTAGATATTATACTGTATTTAATACGTCAAAAAAGGTAGACATTATGTGCCATTCATAATAGAAATGATCCGTTGATTCATTGACGAGCGGGGGATAATTGCCGGCTGTCACTGTCCTCTTCTCATTGGGTCATTTTTATGACGAAGCATCGAATAATAAATTGTCCGATCAAAGGGTTTTCAAACCCTGTAGTCTAATCTTCAAATCCACCATGGTTATGTTGGCAAAAAAAAAAAAAAAATCCACCATGGTTATGAAATTCTGAAATCAACAGAATGCAAAACCAGCACAAGACAACATGAATAAATAACTGTATAAAAAGGGACAATTATTATATTAGCCCGCTTAAAATTTTCAGAATTCTTTGATATTTTAAAATAGTTTTAAAATATTCTTATTTAATCATTTTTTTCTATTGTCATAAACCAGTTTTCTGATAAAAACTTTGAATAAGCCAATCAAGTTATATCTTTTTATTTTTTTTCCCGTTGTTAAGTACTCCTTCTGATTTTTATTATAAGTTTCAAATAATTAATTAACAAATAACAAACAAATAGTTAAAATAAATTAAAAATAATAAATAGATTAAAAATATGATTTTAGTTGAATTATATTATTTTAAGTATTTTGCAGTTCAACCACCTTTAAACTCACTGAGCATTGAAACTTGAATCATTATCCCAAAGGGTCAGATTTCTGGTTTGATTTTCAGTGTCTTTTTTTTCCCCCCTGATTTTTCGTATCTTTATTTTTCCCCTGACCCTGAATAAATGCTGTTTTTAATGAACGCCGTAATAAATGATCTTACTATTACGAAAGAGTATTTAATTTCGGATATATTTAAAAAAAACCAAAAATTATTCAGACAAAGTCAATTTATTTGGCAGGTTGCGGAGAAAAAAGAAAAAGAGAATTATAAAGAGATAAAAAAATAATTACAAAAACAAGTTTTAAAAATTATTATTTACTACTTTAAAACTTGTTATCACATGATACTTAAAGACTTTTTAAGAATTATTTTTTTTTAGAATCTCATTATAATTTTCTTAGAATAAAATTATCTGGCAAGTTGGGGCACATATAAAGCGGTTCATTATGGTGCTAAATTGTGAAATCCATCCTCTGACCGGCTGAACTCCTCAGAGAGGTCATTAAGGCATGTTCAGGTCAGCAAGCAGTGGGAGGGGAGCCGGCAAGTATGAGAAATTAGGGGAAGAAGCTTCTGGAAGTGGGGATGCATCAGTGAAAGGAGAGCTCAAGAGAAGCACAACTCTGGCTTCAACAAGAGAAACAGGGGCCAGTCTGCAGAGGAACCCAACGAAGAAGAAGGATAGCAAAGAGAAGAGCCATCCGATCTTCAGCTTCATGGATTTTGGAGGGAAGAAGAAGAAAACGACGGCCAGGCCTGAAATGGTGAGGTATGTGGAGTATCTCAAGGAAGCAGGCATGTGGGATTTGGATTCGGATGAGCCCGTCATTTACTACAAGTAATATAATTACAGGGCTTACCTTCTCTCTGTTCTTCTCCTTCTTCTTTGGATTTCAAGTTCAACGTTTCCGGTATGTCACCAACTGAAATCGTAATCCATTCTCGTTCGTTCCAAATTGCAGACACACATGTTTGATTCATCTTCTTTTGCTTTTGATGGAATCGATTTAGGTCTGGGAACGCGGCTTCATGCCCAATGAGACAAATACGAAAAGATTATTTTAAAAAAAAAAAGCAAAACAACTTTTGCGCAATTATCTAATTTATTTATTAATTTAGATTATATCTAATCCATTTTTAGGGTGTTTAGATAGAAATCAAACCATGGTTTCAGAAGTGCTTTTACGAATTACGAAGTAAATATGTGGAGAAGGTTACCTCGTTTTGCGGAAAAGTGATTCTGAAACCTAGATTTTAGTTTTGCCAAACACCCCCAAATATAGACAACAAAAAAATGATTTTAATCTATTTGATTTTATAGTGTCTTCTTTCTTATGATATCTCTAATGGGAAGAAGAAAGGTCTTAAATCACTCAAAATTCGGGTTCTATGTTTTTTTCTTCTTTCTTACTCCTCCGGTATTAAGATCTGTTTAATTAATTTGATTTGATTAAAAAAATTATATAATTTAATTAATTGTAAGAAATATAAAATATTTTCCTTAAAACACTATAATCACTTTTCTTAATATCATCCCTCTTTCTTTTATTTGATTATGGTTGATGTAGTATCTATAGAGATAATTTAGAAATAATTGATAAATATAATAAATAAATCTTATATTTATAATCAAAATCAACACAATAATTAGATTTTATATTAAAGATTGAAAGATTATTTTAATATAAAATAAAGATATGTCCTTATAATTACGCTCCTCTATAACTGATTTTTGGCAAAGTAGGGTGTACAGATATTGGGATGGACGTCTAATGATGGAAGGGTTCAGTTCTAAAAAGAACAATAAAACACAAGTTGCAAAACCAAACAATTTACAAGAGTTTTAGGAAAGTAAATGAAAAAGTTATTTTTCAGTGGCATCACCCGTATTGCTTGTGGTGAAGGTTAAGGGTTTAAGTCTTGCATTGATATTCATTAAGTTCAAAGAAAAACAGTATTATAATATGAAAGTTAAATAAAACTACTAAACAAACACAACCTTAAAAAAAACTTTAGCAAAGAAATATTTGAAAATTAATATTTTAAAAAAATAAAATAACTTATATATCCACTTTTTTTGTGGCCGACTTCTCGAAAAGTTGCGTTATTAAATCAAACGAGGCCACAATCATTAAGAATTGAGAACTTCCAGTCTTCAAATTGGGCTAATTACTTTATATTTGAATATATTAAATCATACTCCTTTGATCTTTAATATAAGATATGCTTAACTACTTTAGGTAAGTTAAAGAAAGTAGTTCAATTAGTTATTTATTAAAAATATATGTTGGTTTTTCTAAAATATCATCTTAAATTATTTAAATTAAAACTACATTTTGATGCAAATTCTCTTAACATGTGCATTTAACAAGGTTAATTTAGATAAATAAAAGAGACAAAATAAA